CCTCTGAAATTTAGTTGTTGGCTAAATGCACTGAGTTTCAGGTTGAGTCTCTCCCTGTAAGGTATTTGGGAGTTTCCCTTGTGTCTAAGTGTGTCTCCTCTGTTAGCAGTAAGGCTTTGGTAAGGAGGATAGCTGGGAGAATTAGAAGTTGGCCTTCGATGTGTTTGTCATTTGCAGGAAGAATACAATTAATCCAAGCGGTAATTTTCAGTATTCAAAATTTCTAGTGTTGTATTTTCTTGTTACCATCCATAGTGATTAAGCAGGTTGAGAAGCTTTGTAACTCTTTTCTTTGGAAGGGTTCGAATGGTTCTTCTAGGGTCACTCGAGTTAGCTGGGAAAAAGTATGTCATCAGAAGTGTGAAGGTGGGCTTGGGATTAAGGATATTTTTGTTTGGAACAAGTCTTATATGATGAGGTGCTTGTGGATGCTTATTGTCAATGATGGTTTTCTTTAGGTGGACTCCATTTAGAGTTATATTTAGAAGGGATGTTTCGTTTGGCAGATACCTTAGAGGGTGGGGTCGAGCTGGTTCTGGAGAATGATTATGAGGTTGTAAGATGATTTCTCTATTGTTGGTAGCCTTGGTGGGGGGTTTAGTGCTAGGAAATTGTGGGATGTTCTCAGACACAAGCAAGTTAGGATTCCTTGATATAGGATCATTTGGGGGTGTGTTATTGATTTCTCTTCATTCGTTTATTGCTTAGTTAGTGGTTTTAGATTGATGGTCAACTAGGGATCGTATGATTTATTAGGGTGTTTATGTTGATTTCTGCTTGTGTATTTTGGACACCAACATTTCATTTTAAGGTAAAAGGTCCCTAACGTTTGACTAAATAGACACTTTGACCCCAATTATTTTTTGAACATTTTGGTGCCAACATTTCATTTTATGAAAAAATGATCTTATTTTGGAGCATTGATCATTTGTTGACTAACAACTTTAATCCATGAAGGACATGTTTGTCTCAAAATAAAACGTTGGAGGGGCTAAATTGCTTTTAAAAAATAAGTACCAAACTTAGAGGTGAGAGTTTGATCGAGTCAAGTCGAGTAAAAAAATTTGAGTTATTCAAGGTGATGAGTACTATTTTATAACTCGGAGTTGACTTGAAATTTGATCGAGTCAAATCAAATTTTTGAGTTTCTATTTAAATTTAATTATAAATATTTACTACTATGACATTATTTGATTCTAATTTAAATAGTATTTTATAATCATATATAATACATATATATTTTTGTATTTTTAATATGTGATTTACATATACCATACAATGTCGAAGGATTCGACTAAAACTTTGACTTAAACTTGAAAATCAATATGCTAATTACTAAAAATTTTGAATTATTCGAGTTGTAAAATACAGCTCGATTTGAACTTTAAAATTTTTCGAGTTGAGTAGAGTTTATGAAATTACAACTCGAAGTCAATTCGAGGTGAACAAAAAAAATCAATTTTTCGAGTCGAGTAGAATTCTGCTCACCCCTAAAAATGAGTATTTAATCCAACCTTAACAATATTTTTATATTATGCCTATACTATTCATGCCTCAAACTTTAAGGTTTAAGGGTTCCAAGCGATTAAGCTCAAGTTGGTCCAATGATTAAGTTTTAACCTTTATTTTCAAAGGTGTAGAGTTTGAATCCCTCAAATACTAAAATATGTATAATTATTTTAGTAAAATGATATCATTTTGGATCTTTTGAGTATCAAAATAGTCACATTAAAATGACATCGTTCTAGTGTGAACGTTACATCAACAACCATCAATCACATCACTACATCATTAACGATTTAACGATCTAATGATATAACTAAAACATGAATTAAAATTTAATGTCATAATTGGTAAAATTAAAAATTCAATAAGCGGTATTATACCCAAAGTTAAATGATATCCGATATAATATACAATTAATTTTTTTTCAAAGATAAAAAAAAACTTTTCACACCCTTAAATCAACTTTAAACTAAAAGGCTTAACTAAAAAATAAGTGCTCAAATTATACCCTTTTTTCCAAATAGGTGCCTAAACTTTTTGTTTCGATTCATCTATGTGTCTAACGTTACAAACGTTACAACTTTAGGTGTTTGATTCGTAACAGACTTTAAATTCCACCATTAAATGACACATATCGCGTTCAACATATTTTGAAAATTTTATTTAAAATAAAAAAAAATTAAATTATAATGTTTAAGAAAAACCCAAAAATTTCAAAAATTTAAAAAACCTCCCCAAAATTTTTAAAAACCTAAATCTAATCCCTATACCCACACCGACAGTCACCATCGACTAGTTACCCAACAACAAGGATGACCATCTCAACAGCAAGGAAGACATAGGGAGATTGCAAGGATGGTGTTGACGATGGTGGTTGTGGTCGGCAAGGGAAGTAAAGTTAGTGTTAGGGCTAAAGGATTTGGGTTTTTTTTTGTAATTTTAAATAAATTTGGGTTGTTAAATATACAAATAATTTTTAAGTTTTTTTAAAAAAAATAAAATTTTAAAATTATCATAATTGGACACGTGCCACTTAACGGAGTTTTTTTAACGATCATTATGATCAGGGCACCTAAAGTAGTAACGTTTGTAATGTTAGGCGCTTGGATGAATCGAAAAAAGTTTAGACCCCACTTTAGGAAAAACAATATAGTTTGGGCACTCATTTTCTAATTAATCCAAATAAAAATTTTACTATAAGGAGGAAAACCAAGTTTGGTTTACGTAGCAGATATGGACTAGTGCTATTAATTTGACCAATGGCATTCTATGTTTTTTAAAAAAATGTTTTTAAAAAAAATGTTTTTGTGTTAATAATTAATGTGTTAGTTATAATATTAGAACATGTGACCTAAACTTAGTGTCCAAAGTCTCAGAACACGACACAACCAGTTTAGCTTCAAGTTGTTACATAGGGTTCATATATGCTGGCCTTTTAAACTCATAACTCCAACTGCAAATTGAGGCATTTAACCCTCATTACTATTATTTTTTTTAATGATTATGGGGCGAATGTATTATGTACAGTAATATCTGTTCAAAGACTCTCAATCATTTGATAATGAACGTTTATATTTTTGTATACATGAGTTTTAAACTTGAAATCTCAAAAGATAATAAAAATCTCTTAATAACTAAAATCGTTTAGTTTGCACTACTATTTTTTTTAAATAACCTACGAGTAAAGACTACTCGAAACAAGAGATTAAGACGAAGAAACTCCCATATTTTGAAACATGAATCCCTTTCTACGGTAAACAATGATTGGTTGGTGTAAAGAACACAGAAAGAGACAAATGAACAAGAAGATGAGCTGCCATTTCAGACCCCACAACCTTTGTGTGGACAATGAGTCTTCCCTAACATCATATCAGAACTGAAAACCTAAATCTCATGAATTTAAATAACAATAATGTGTCCCATGTCAAATGTGGTTGGCCTTTGTCCCCCATCCACCTCTATTCCTTCCGACATCCGCCATGCTTGTGCACTACCATGCCCTAAAGCCAGCTAATCCCCCAGCAATATGTATGTAGTATGTTCAAATGGTCTCATTCAACATATGCTCTGTTCTATATTTATCTTTCTTTTTTGTGATTTGTATATGGTTTTTGCCCGCCTTCTTTGTTTATCACATGGTAGGCCATTTTTGTATTTTTTATTGGATTTATTAAAATGATGCTTTTCCGTATTTATTAATTTTAATTTTTTTATTTATATGGGTATTTCATAATTTAGAAGTCTCCTACGGAAGTTGCTCTCAACCTAGTGTTGGGGGTAGCCTATTATCTTACCTCCTCCTTACCCCATCCTTACCCCATTACATATGAGAACAAGGGACAACCATTAAAATGATGCTTTTCCATATTTATTAATTTTAATTTTTTTATTTATATTGTTTTGAATCCATGTATTTATTACTAATTAATAATATAATCTCATACACTCTACAGAGATTAATATCAGGAGAAAACATCCAAACAAAACATGCTTATATATTTTAGTGAAATAGTCAAAATTAATCAAAGACCATAAAAGGATGACAATCCATCAATCAAAATACAGATAAGCAAAGTTGGTGACAAGTTTATCCTAATGGTACATTAGTGACAATAAAGATACATGAATCTCATCTCATCACATAGTAATAATCGGCATCTCTATGTGCCACTTGGATTGAAGTCCAAATATGCACTTTTCTGCCTCGTCAAAAACTAAAGTCCATATAATATATGTACACAAGTACTATAGAGTCTATGACATGTCAACTGTATTTAAAAATCAACTAAATGACAATTCAAAATGTATTTTGTAGTATTTTAATATAAAAGTTTTACAAAGATTTGAATATTATAAAATAAAATCTCATAATTCGATTTAATCACATATAAAACTACACATGATAATTTATCACAGTCAAAACTAAGCAAAAACATAATCAACGTTACGCAACATCTAAATAATTTACCCAAGCTTACCAAATAATCATGAATGACATATGAAGTGCTCATAGTTTACGACATTTATATATGACAACCTTACAATCAAAATCGAATGCTGATGAACCAAATAACACTAGATGTTAGATCTAAGTTTGGGCTTCTTAAATATGCCTTTAGTTTAGGGATTAGACCAGTAATTTAGGAGTCATTGGATGTATCTTTCTCCATAGCTCTATAGGGTTTAATAATGATGTTTAAGGAAATTGATGAAGATATCATACTTCAATCTGATTTGACCCGAAAATATATATTTTCTACTCGAAATCTGATCTGATCCGAGTTTAGAGGCGACTTAACCCGATCTGAATCAGACTCGACTTTTTGAGATAAAACATGAACCCGACCCGAACCAATATTGAAAATAATAATAATATAGAGAGTGTTATTATTGCAATTATCCCTAAATTTATAAGATAAATTTATATTATTTTTCGGGTCAGGTTGGGCCATGTGTTTTTCACCTTAAACCCAAACCCGAATCGAACCTAAACTTTTTATAAAAATATTCGACCCAATGAATCGAATCGAGGCAAAACCCATCAAGTTCGAGTCTCATAACTATTCCTTCCTCTTCATCCAACACGTGGACAAAATATCTCAATTTATAAAATTAAATAAAGGGTAAAGTATAATAATGGTCACTGAACTTTTCTAAAGCATTCATTTAGGTCCCCAACTTTTAAAACTTGCAATACAATCCTCCAACATTTAGTACGTTTGCAATATGGTCCCCGACGTAACCGGTCGTTTGACGTCGTTACACAGCCGTTAGTAAGTTTGCAATATGATCACTGAACTTTTCAGGCGCTTGCATTTAGCTCCCCAAACTTGTAAAACTTACAACACAGTCCTCAATTTTATTCTAAACCCCAAATTCCTTTTCGATCTCGAATTTCATTTTTCGTTTCTCTTTTCCCATTTCCAGTGTAACTTTTCAATCAGGGATGCATGGAAAATTCTAATCTAACTTTGAATTTTGTGGATGTGTTGACTTAAATAAGGGTCCATTGAGAGAAGACCCGACCAAGGGACTATTGGGACCATCAACGATTCAAGGTGTAATGTTAGATACATGTCATCTCAAGTGAAGCATAGATGTTCGATGAAATGCTTGTGAGAAAAAATGGGGTTAGAAATGCAGAGTTGACAAATACTACTAAGATGAACTAAGTATCATTGTTGAAATTCACCAACAAAGCTGGAATTATTTTGTATAAATGGCATAAAATAATTTCTTCGTTTAATCCTTGTGGTTAAAGATTTTCCAACAGATGATCAAATATAATGAAATCCCAAACAACATATTCACTTGCCAGTCTCTTTCGTAACTTGAAAGGCATCAGGACAGGGTCAAGTGGCTGCTCCAAATATACTACCCTATCATGATGCCTTTCGAGTTGCGTGCATGCAGAATTGTCTTCTAAAGCTATAATTCAATACAATTCAACTGTAAAATTTCCAAAACATGTAAAAAAATCCAATTCGTTCACGATATATCAGTCCCATAATCAACATGAACTTATTAAAAAGAATACGAGTTCATATGACGCCGAAAACCATAGGTCGAATCAATACAATTCCCTGTAAACTAGTACCAGCAGTCTCTCGGATTGAGCCTGACGATTTCACTCTGTCGATACTCACAACCAATTCCTTGATTTAAAGAAAAACCAAACAAGAAGATCAAAAAAATTTAGCCTATGACCCTCTTTCACTTCTATTCTGATGGACTGAATATCTTTCATAAGGAGTACTAAAACTTTTGATTAAGAAGAAAGAAAGAAAATTAGATGGTTTTGGTTCAAAACTAACAATGAATATCTAGATCATTGACATGCAGTTCCAGAAACATAAAAATTTCAACAAAAAACACACAATGTGAGTTGAAAATGGGAAAGTGCGAAAAAGGAAAAGCTTCATTCCGGATAGCCTAAAAGAGAAAATAAATACATTCTTGCCGGTGAGGGGAGAGACTAAGAAATAAACGCAATCGGTGTTGCGTTTCAACAATTCTTCCTCCATTTTTTCTTTGTAAATAAAAAGCTAAAAGACAGAGCATTGCTTGGGTTTACAATTTTACATGGCAAAAAATTGAAGAAAAAAAGCCAAACGAGAGTGCATGTGAGTGAAAGAGATTGAGAGGTGAATGTGTTGTTTGGGATTTCATTATATTTGATCATCTATTGGAAAATCTTTAACCACAATGATTAAACGAAGAAATTATTATATGTCATTTATACAAAATAATTCCAGCTTTGTTGGTGACTTTCAACAATGTTACTTAGTTCATCTTAGTAATATTTGTCAACTCTGCATTTCTAACCCCATTTTTTCTCACAAGCATTTCATCGAACATATATGCTTCACCTGAGATGACATGTATCTAACATTACACCTTATATTGTTGATGGTCCCGATAGTCCCATGGTCGGGTATTCTCTCAATAGACCCTTATTCAAGTTAACACATCCATATAATTCAAAGTTAGATTAGAATTTCTCATGCATCCCCGACTGAAAAGTTACGCTAGAAATGAGAAGAGAGAAGCGAAAAAAAAAAATTCGAGATCGAAAAGGAATTTGAGGTTTAGAATGAAATTGAGGATTGTGTTGAAGTTTTAAAAGTTGGGGGATCTAAATGTAAGTGCCTGAAAAGTTCAGTGACCATATTGCAAACATACTAACGATAGTGTAACGGCGTCAAATGGTCGGTTACATCGTCGAGGACCATATTGCAAACAGACTAAATGTTGAAGGACTGTATTGTAAGTTTTAAAAGTTGAGGAACCTTAGAAAAGTTCAATGATCATTACTGTACTTTACCCTTAAATAAATTAAAGCTTTTAGGACAACAATATAAAAAATGATACTTACGTAGCTTATTCCTCAAAAAAAAAACCCACTAACTTTTATCAATAGTCTAATCATGCTAACAAACCTTCCGATTTTCCCTTGTTTTCACTTAGATACCAAGACTTTCAATGCTTCACATTTTAGTCCTTTTCAATCTTTATAATTTAATCCTTAATTCAATTTTGGATCGAATCATAATTTAAATGAATAAAATTCATTTTCAATAAACACACATTCAAAGACCGAGATATTTAAATGGGATCTCGTAACTTTATCTTTTGCTCATCAGACATTGAAAAAGAGTAATTTATGCGATTAGTACTTAAACTATCAAATTGTGTCTGTTTTAGTACCTAAACTTTTAATTTTTTAAAATCATACCTAAAGTTTAGTTTTTGTTTCATTTTAGTAACCATGTTCAAAATTTAACATTAATTTTTGAAAAAGTTTGAAAGTTTAGGTACTAAAACGGACAAAAATTGATAGTTTAGGTACACTAAACGCGTTAAGTTTTTAACGTTGAGGTATTAAAATGAAATAAAAACTAAACGTTAGGCATAATTTTGAAAAAAATTAAAAGTTTAGATACTAAACTAGACCAAAACTGATAATATAAATACTAAATGCGTAGTTTACCCTCGGAAAAATTTTAAAAGAGTGATGACAGTGAAGGAGGGAATGAATTCCAAAAGTATGAGAAAATAAAGGAGATCCAATCATAGTCAAAATTGGAAACCACTCCTCTTAACTTCATTGCATTAGACTCGCTAAACTTACTTCTTTTCATTATCATTTTTTATTTTTAATCTTTTAAGGCTTATTTCTTTTCCATTTCTGTTATGTTCTCTCTGGTAATCATTTATGTAAATTCATAGTTACATTAAATTGAAATAATTTGAAACAAATGGCCTTCTTGAGGCTGGGTTCTAAGCCTGAAGTATTTCACCGTGAAGGTTGCTCTTGGTAAGCATGTTTATATTGATGACTAAAAAAGATTCTGATAAATATTAACTTCAAATTTGTATAAGATATGTTTATATTATTAATTTTTATAAATAGTTTGTTTTAGGATGTGTGCGTGTTATCGATTAGGGTTATTTTGTTTCAGGGTTTGCACATCTGGACTTTCGAGCGACATTTGCATTAACATTGGAGAAATGTCTTTCAATCTCCACAAGGTGTGTTGTTTGCACAATTAAAAGAAACCAAGTTGAATTCTATGTCGTGTCTCATTTTGGATAATTATTGTAGTTTCCATTGCTTTCAAGAAGTGGGTTGCTAGAAAGACTTATTGAAGAGTGCAGCGATGGAGAAGGATCGAGTTTAAGTTTGAGCCTTGATGATATACCAGGTGGAGCTATAGCCTTTGAGCTTATATCGAAGTTCTGCTACGGCGTACGAATCGAGCTCACCGCGCAGAATGTCGCCAGCATCCGATGTGCGGCCGAGTACCTCGTAATGACAGAAGATTATGGAGATGGAAATCTCATAATGCAGACCGAGTCTTTTCTTAACGAAGTGTTGGGGAATTGGGATGACTCAATTACAGCTCTTGAATCCTGTGAAGAAGTCATGCCACATGCCGAGGAGTTTCACATCGTCTCGAGATGCATCGATTCGTTGGCGACAAAAGCCTGTGCAGATCCGAGCTTATTCGGCTGGCCTTTGCCTGGACGTGAAGCCAAGAAAAGTCCCCAAAATGAAGGTTTATGGAATGGAATATCAACCGCAACGAAGACACAACGTACAGGGGAGGATTGGTGGTACCAAGATGTATCATTCCTTAGTTTACCTTTATATAAAAGACTGATTTTAGCCATCGAATCGAAAGGTTTAAGGCCGGAAAGCATTGCGGCGTCGGTGGAGCACTATGCTCTGAGGTATCTCCCCTTGATGAATCGACAATCAAGCTTCGACGATATGCACAATGTTAATACCGTGACTACTTCCGAAGCCGATCAGAGGGCTCTGTTAGAAGAGATTGTAGGGTTACTTCCTAACAAGAAGGGAGTCACATCCTCCAAGTTCCTCATTAGATTGCTTCGTACAGCAAAGGTGCTACGCGCTAGCCCGTCGTGCCGAGAAAATTTGGAGATGAGGGTCGGAGCTCAATTGGATCAAGCTTCCCTAGTGGACATACTAATTCCGAATATGGGGTACTCGGAGACTCGTTTCGACGTGGACTGTGTTCAGCGAATTCTTGACCATTTCATGTTAGTACAACAAGCTGCAGCATTAGCAACTCCTTGCAATGTCGAGGAGGGGGAGTTAACAAACGGATCGCTCGATTCGTTAACACCGATGACGATGGTGGCCACCTTGATAGATGGATTCTTAGCAGAAGTAGCATCGGATGTTAATTTCAAGCTCCCAAAATTCGAAGCTCTCGCAGCTACAATCCCCGATTATGCAAGACCTCTCGATGACGGACTCTATCACGCCATCGATGTCTACATGAAGGCACATCATTGGATTACAGATAACGAGCGAGAACAGCTCTGTAAACTAATGAACTGTCAAAAGCTCTCATTGGAAGCGAGCACTCATGCAGCGCAAAACGAGAGGTTACCTCTCAGAGTGATCGTTCAAGTCCTCTTCTTCGAACAACTCAGGCTTCGCACATCGATCTCAGGCTGGTTCTTTGTATCCGATACTCTCGAGAACTCACACAACACTAGCGGTGGGATCGAAATGAACTCGATGGCAACACGAGAGCTAGCTAATGGCGGCGATGACGATGTCGAGCAACGAGTTTCCGAGCTTGAAAAGGATTGTTCGAGCATGAAAGAGGAGATAGGGAAACTGATGAAGGCGAAGAGAAGTTGGAGGAATTTTACGAGGAAGTTGGGTTTTAATAAGAAATCGAATTCTTGTTGTACCAAAGGAACGAAGCCTACGAATGTAGGAGCATTTTCACAAATTTGATTGTAACTTCTCATTATTAAACTTTATCTTATAGTATGATAGTATTTTTCTTAATAATTTCTGATGATAATAAAGTAGTATATTTATTTATAATTTTTTAATTATTAATTATATATATTACAGATGTTGATGTTCGAATATATATAACCATATAATGATCACTACAAATAGGGGTGACACAATGAGCTCAGTCTCGAAAACTTTATCTAAAATAATTGGAACCTGAATCTAAAAATAATTTTCTTGATATTGTTCATATTTTAATAATATAGGTTTATATAATTTAGGGTAAATTACACCATATATCACCAAAATTTAGGGGTTGTATCGTTTATACCACTAAACATTTAATTTTGTCAATTGTAGCAATGAACTTTGATTTTCATTTCAATTATACCACTGGACCGTTAAATCGTTAATAGTAAAATCAAAACAATATCGTTTTGGTGAGATGTCTACATTGGTAGCAGTCAGCCACGTTATTGTGTTGTTAACAATTTAATGGGTCAATGATATACTTTAAACGAAAATTAAAGTTTAATGTTATAATTAACAAAATTAAAAGTTTGGTGGTATAAACGATACAATATCTAAAGTTCGGTGGTATTTGATGTAGTTTACCTTAAATTTTATTATAATTTTACATTGTTTTTATATTTTTATTAGTTCTATTATATTTATGTAATTTTAAAATTATAAATGATTTTTTTATAATACCATTATTTTATATAATTTTATCTGATTCTTTTGTATTTTTTATAATCTTATTAATTCTTAAATTTTTTATATTTTTGTAATTATTGTATAAACTGACCTCCCAATTCGATAAGTTTTGTGAAATTGACTCCTAATTTTCTAGATCAAATTGATTCTTGATTTGACAAGTTTGCTTCAATTATTTCATAAAGCTTTTATGTAAGTTCATAGGCCAATTTGTTAAGATCTTGAGTCAATTTGTTTAGTGATAATTTTATGTTATATACCCCTTTAATTTTTTCCCTGGAATCTTTGTATATTTATAAGGATTATATAACAAATTGGACTGTTAAATTAAGCGAAAATTAAATAAGCTCTTGAGTATTGTCTCAATTAAGCCATTATTTGAAAACTTATGATCAAATAAATCTATGAAATTTGATTATATAATCTCACTAATAGATATTTTCAATTTTAAAGACTTATTTAATTGTGAAATTTTAAATAAATTCATTGAAAAAAAACATTTCACTAAAAACAATTAGGGTAAACTACAACAGATACCACAAACTTTAGACATTGTATCGTTTATACCACTTAACTTTAATTTTGCCAATTATAGCACTGAACTTGGATTTTTGTTTTAATTATACCACTGAACTATTAAATCATTAACAACAAAATGACGTGGATGATGATTGCCAACGTAGACACCTCACCAAACGACATTGTTTTGATCCGACTGTTAGTGATTTAATGGCCCGGTGATATAATTGAAACAAAAATCAAATTTCAATACTATAATTAACAAAATAAAAAGTTGAGTGATATAAAAAATACAACACCTAAAATTCAGTTATATCGGATGTAGTTTATCCAAGAATTTATTTGATTATCGTTTAGTTCAAGGTGGAACAATTTGTTGTATAATCCTCTTTGTAATTGTATTCTCATCAAAGCTTGATTTTATTTATATACATCCACACTCACTTGAATCCATATAACCTAAATAATCGATATTGATATGAAAGTTTCATGAAGGGTGTAACCCCTCAGATTGATACGGGTGACTCGATCCGATCCGGGGTGTCACATTAGGACCACCGGAGCGACCCACCGTAAATATCTTGGAAAAATTAAAATTTTTGCTAAAACACGTAAAATCATAAAACCATTTATAAATACAAAAATAAAATTTACCAATATTCATAAATAAAACAGATTCCAGACTCCGATATAAAAACAAAATACAACCTACATGCCCCTAAACATATACATCGTACTCTGCAAGCAACGTCGGCGGAACTCCCTTATCGATGTCGATAGTTGCACTGGTTCAATCCTTTTAACCTGAAATAGTGAGTAACAGAGTGAGCTTTGGAAAGCTCAGTAATATAGTACTACCAAACGATGCTGAAATGCATGCAGATAACCGATAAGCATATATTTCCTTATTGTTTCGGGCATCTACAGGTTTTTATGCAGAGTTGAGGTCCCAGTGATATTTCAGGTAGTAACAGACAATAAGCTTTCAGTTCAGAGGGAAATATTTTGGATAACTAGGTTCAGGAGATCATAATAGGATGTCTAGTGTGTTCCCACAAAACCAGTGAACAAGTACTGATTTTTTAAAACGGTAGAAGTTAAAACGTATTTTCAAAAACCATAGAAATCCCTCCAACCGAACGCCATATGCAGCTCCCAGAAATGCATCCATAAGGACTTACCCTAGGCCCGAATAGCGTAAGTGCCAACCTAAGAGAGCACCTTGGGTTCATAAGGTCTTACCCTAGTCGAAGCGTAGGTGCCCACCTGAGGGGAGTGCCCTTAGGCCCATAAGGACTTACCCAATGCACACAGCAAAGGAATCACCCTAAGGGAGTGCCTTTGGGTCCATACCACTAGGTCTATTAGGCCCAGGAGCCCACCCAAGAGTCACCTTAGGTTTATAAAGAATTACCAGTTGGTGTTGAACCTATAAAAGGAATTACCAGCAGTGACTGAACCTGCCAGAGATAGGAATTACCAGTCGGTGCAGAACCTATACAAGGAATTACCAGCAGTGACTGAACCTATCAGAGTCTTCATACAGATCCTAGAGTACCCCGAATAATACATTTTCAGTCAGTAAACAGAGATATCAGAAATCAGAGCAGAGATCATAACAGAAATCAGAGAAAACATAAATGTGATCAGGGAAACACACTAAAGGTTCCATATAATATTCGTATGTACTTGATAATATTATCGGCAAGGAAACACGGATCTTCAGTATACTGATATAATGTCGAAAATTAAAATCACTATCGAAAGGGTTCATTAGTTGACAGAATCATCAGTTATTCAAAACGTGATTTATCAGGATCATTGAGTATTCGGATATTTTTTGGAGGCACTATGTAATGAAAAATATATTCAAAATCCTAAGCAATAGAGTTACTTTCGTTTTCAAATATGACCAAAGTGATTCCATTATTTAGGAAAATCAGAAGCATTTTGGGCATTAGATTCTTGGAGGATTCAAGTGATTTGAGCTGATAAGGGAGAAACGAAGATTCAGTGCATTTACGATTTGTGTCGATCTATCAGAATATCAAGTTAATTTGAACTGAACAATCCTACCACTGATACCTGTCAACCGGTCAAATCGTTGCACTTCCAGAATATTCACATTTTAATACATACAATTTTTGTCGAATTAATCATCTTCAGAATCATCACAGAAAGGATCTTAAGAACGATACATCATGTAATTTTGTCAGCGATTACAGTCTTATCCAAGTTACTCACTTAACCCTAGGTCATTGAGGGTACTTAGGTCATATGATATAGTTATTTTGGTATTCGAGGTTGATTTTTTCATTTTAGATTTGAGGGTAATAGTTATTCCAGGGCTTGGACGTTCTTCGAATCATATTATACTTCAGGGGTATTTCAAATAAATCAGAAGTTTAATTGGTGATTCCAAGATTCCAATGGATCATGATATAAGTTCTCTCAGGTCGTCTCTATTATCATAGTCATCCATATTGCTTTTTACTCTTTAGGGGTATTATCGTCATTTCATTCAATTTTGTTAGTGACATTACTTTAAATAACTTAGGCTTGAAAGTATTTCAGTTCCAATAAAGTTCAGAGTACTTTGCTCATTTGCTCACTGAGGTTAATTTCACCAGTAGGGGAAGTCTTAGTCCTTTTTCAGTACAAGGGCATTTTCATAATTTTATCACATGGTGTTATTTTTGGTAATTTCATTCCAAATATTTCTAACATTTAACCTTTAATAAGATTAATCATAATTTACATGTTCTGAGATTTATTGATTTACTGATTAAATCATTGAACTGAGGTTTATTCCCAATCAGTCTACCTATTTCTTTTTCGAGTCATCTGAGGCTTTTACAGTGTTTCGTCTTTATTCTAAATTTAATTTGAGTCCAATGATAATTAACTACATCTCATGGACTAATTATATTCATTCATGCATGTACCAATTATCAATGGGTTCCGAAAAGCATACAAAGGGTAGTATAGTATTATCTCAATTTTATGTCATATCGATCGACCCTTTAAACTCCATTCTATCACTCTTGAACTTGAATTCAACGTCCAATAATTCCTCGGATACAAAGCAACCGAATTTACGTCAGAAACTAAACTTAATTTAGAAACCATATTGAATTGAAGGTAAATCTCTGAAAAACGACTTACCGGGTGCGAATTTGGAAAGACAGACTTTGGATTCAAACTCAGGACGTCGAAAAAATATAAAATATGACTTTTCGAAAATTTTGACATTTTCGGTCGAAGTCAACGGTCAGACTGGTCACGGTCAACAGTCAACTCTGACCAAAGTCAATGGGTCGGGTCAAAGAGGTTCGGGTCGGGCAGGCGGGTCAGTTCTGTTCAAATCAGATTGACCGATTCGGGCTGGTCCAGACCGGCTGGACCAGTTCGAGAAAGATCCAGAGCTGGGGACAAGCCCTAAACGCACGTGGCGGCGCGTGGTGGTGCATGAGATAGCGGCAAGGGGCAGGTCGGTCGGCCGATCACTCCCAGAGCATCCAAACAGTTAAAACAACCCACATAAATACTTAAATCAACCTAAAAACGTCAAAATAAAAAGAGAATAGTTGAAACTCTTACACACGCCGTCAATTGACGACGACGCGTCCACTGTGAACAAAATCGGTCGGGTTTTGAGCATACGGCAACGGTGAATCTAATGGTGCAGGAGGTGAGGCGAGATAACGTCGGAGGCGACTGGAATCGTCGAAGATACACTTGGCGACTGGAATCGTCGAAGATATACTCGGCGATGGGGATTTTCAACGGGACTTTTCGATGAGTTTCATGGTGAACGGTGGCGTTATGAGATGGGCTAGGGGTGGGGTTATGATCATCGTTCGACGGTGAGTCAAATTGTAGGAGTGGCTCGAGCTGGGGTGGCCAGACAGTGATAGAATGTGGCTGTAAAGAGGGTCGGTGGGAGAAGGGAATTGAGATTTAGGGATTTAGGTTAATTGGGGAAATTTTGGGTTAACCCGACTGGGTAAATTTATTTTTCACTGGATCTAAAAATGGGAAAATTTGGGTTCTAGTCCCTGAACTCCCTACACTTTCTAAAATTATCCATAAGTTTCAGAAACTCACAATTTGACCCGTAGTTTAGGGTGTTACAAAGGGTTTATGAGGGGAAAATTGAAATATAGATCTTGTCCACAGACATATAATGCTAGGCGTAAATTTATAAAATTTTAGGGTTTAAAAAAAATTATTAATAAAAAATATATATAATAAAAATTTAAATTGCATGAAATTTTAAAAAAAAACGATCTTATGTACAACCTTGCTCCACAGGGATGTTATCAAGCAGAGGAGCAAATCAGAGGGGTAGATGGAAGGATGATAACCTGTCGGGTTTAGGTCAGATTTTTGTCAATTCGACCTAACTCGAAAATAGGTATCCTCCACTCGATCCGACCGAAAAATATATATTTTTCTACTCAACTCTAACCTGAACTAATTTTTTAGAGTATAAATCTGGTTTAACTCTATCTGATATAAATTAAGGATTTAATTAAAAAATAATAAATTTTTTAAATAAATTACATTATTATCATCGGTCGGGTCTGATCAGAGTTTTTTCACTCTCCACTCGAATCAATCAAACCACCCCCTTAAAAATCCGACTCGACTCAAACCCGATATTTTTTTAAAAAAGAAATCCGACCCTAAGGTAAAAAATTCAGGTTAAATTGTCGTTAAATTGATGATAGAATATGTTGGGAATTCTTTTCTCCCTGAAACTTCAGAAACCATGGGAAATGACAGTCCAACAACCATAGTCACAATTCACTAAGCTTTTTTGAGATGGAAGTGAAACTGGGACCCAACTAAGTGAATCATGTTGTCTAAATGTACAAGGCACATGGTCATCCCTTCCCATCCTTGTGTTTCACTAATATCTGACCCATTCTTGGGGGACACTAATGGTCTCCGACAGAATTGGGCGTAAGATTTTATAATAGAGAGTAAGGGTGTATTTGTTTGCTGTAATTTGAATTACGGAATTGGTTTTTTCGAATATTCATATAATTCATTTTTTGAAAAATGTTTTTTCGTGTTTGTTTCACGTAATTCATTTTTCGGAAAATGTTTTCCCGTGTTTATTTTACGTAATTGATTTTCCGGAATGTAATTCATTTTCCTAATAACAGAACTTCCTTTTTGTTTTCTGTAAAATGACTTACGAATTCATTTTTCGTAAATCATTTTTCGAACTTTTCACTTCAAAGAATAAATACTCAAAATAATTTTATTTTATGAATTTAATATTAATAAAATATTTTAATATCGTTTTCATCAAAATATTATTTATTTATTTATTAATATTTTATAATAATATAATATTATATTTTTAATATTATATAAAATAATCAATTATATTATAATAATATAAGATATTATATTTTTATTTTAATAATATATAATAAATTTTTTATATATTTAATAATGAATAATATTATTTATATATTTAAATAATATTTTAATAAAGATATTTAAAATATACTAATTAATATTTTTAAAATATAATATAACACTATTACTTTAATAAATAATTAATATAATATATAATATTTTATTTCACTAAAATATACAAAAAATATTATTTTTATTAATAAAATTATTATAAAAATAATATTTAATAATAAATAAATTATTTTAATATTTTAAAATAATAATATTAAGTTTTATGATAAATAATATTATTTATTATATTTAATATTTGTAATAAATAATTTTTAAAAAACTCTTCAACTAGTGGAAAAAAGGTTTAAATAACATCTTCCAAACATCATAAAACGTTTTCCAGATGTTTTTCAGAAAAATGTAATTCATTTTACGGAAATTATTTTCCGGAAAACATTTTCCAGAAATGTAATTCATTTTTTAGAATTTAAATTCTAGTCATTTTCCAAAATTCAAATTCTAGTAATTCATTTTCCGAAAAATCAATTACAGCCCAACAAACAGACCCTAAATTTAAATTTAAGGGCAAATTTAAATTTATAAAATTTTGAAAGATAAAAGTAATTTTTTAATAAAAAATACATAAAAAATCTAAAATAGGATAATTTTAAATTTTTAGAAAAACTCCTCGATTGAGATCCAGATCCAGCCCGGGTCTCTGTCACTACTCCAAGCTCTCTTTTCTACCGTTAAACCACCTGGCTCGGTTTTATGGGTAATGGGCCCCCTTGGCTCAACACCCTTTGCTGCAAAAACAGAAACTTGACTTTCGAACAAAGATGTTTTATACATGATATTGATTCCCTTCCATTTTGTACTTATCAACGAAACAAAAGTCTTTGATTGTTTTGGTGTATGGGTTATCATTGATTTTTTGTTGTAATGACAAAATCTACCTCTTAATCTTTGTTTAAATGATTATTTTGGTTCTTATTTTTTTTAGAGTATTTTATCTCTTAATGTTTTAACTTTTGTTTAAATCAATTCTTTTAGATGCATATTGTTAATTGATAACATATATTATTCAAATTAGAGCATGTTAATGGTCAATATATATTGTTGTCGTGATATTTTTTATATGTGTTTAATTAATAATACGACACGTGTCACATTATTACTTTAATGATGTGACACATATCATATCAATAATTAAATACAAGTGAAAATGACATTGGAGCAACACATGTTCCATTAGTCAACTAACGAATTTCATCCTACAAGGGTTATTTTAACAAAAAAAAAATGAAATGTTGGAGGATAAAATCTTTTTTAAAAAATAGGGGTCAAAGTGATTATTTATATAAATATTGAGGGCTAATTATGTCATTATGTATTGTTTCTTTTTTTTCTTATTTAATTTCCATATCTCCATGTCCATGTCCAAGCCTTTTGGCTGTTAGTTAAACTGACTGATCCATGTCGCCCAAATTGGAAACAAAGTTGGCACAATTGATGAAGATAATAAATCAAGTGCACTGTTCATAAGCATTAATTAGTACTTACAATGTGAAAAGAGAATCTGATTTTCCAGTGAAATAAGAAAGTTCAAGACATATTGATGTCAATAGTATAATTTACAAACAAAAATAGGTTTCCCCATTGAACGAAAATTTAAGTCTTTTTTTGTTCTTTTCCAAATTCAATCTACCTTCTCCTTCATCCAGTCCAAGCTGCTCCATCTCCCAACTCAATTTGAAGCAACTCTTTCATGGCAGGGGACATATTCCTGTATACAATGTGCAGACATGAAAAAAGAAGCCATTATTTTGAGTTAAAATCTTATTCAGATTAAGATATCATTGTAGGGGAAATAATACACCAAATGGACACTTTCACATTGTACTTTATAATTGGGATAATGACAAAAAAATCCCTAATGTCTGACTAAATATTCACTTTAACCCCTATTATATTTTAGAACATTTTAGGACTCCAACGTTTTATTTCAGGACAAAAAAGGCTCTTATATGGATAGAAAATATTAGTTAACAAACGGTCAATGCTCCAAAACAGGGACATTTTGTTAAAGGTTGGAGGCTAAAATGCTCCATAGCCCCTATTCTAAAATGCTTAGAAAAAAAGAAAAAGGGTCAAAGTGACTTTTTAGTCAAATGTTATGGACCTTTTTACCCCATAATGAAATGTTGGAGGCTAAAATGCTCAAAAAAGGGGGGCAAAATGACCATTTTGATAAACGTTGGGGGCTAATTTTGTCAGTGTGTCTTTATAATTCCATGGAACACCCATGACTCCTTGGGAAAGAATCAGGCATGGAAGATGTATATATATATATATATATATATCTGCACTTTACATGATGAAGTTTGTTTAATCTATACCTCCAATTTCTTTACTAACTCCTTGGCCGTGGGCGCACATACAATGATTTGGCGTGCATTCGGGCTAATAAATCCTTCTTCCACGGCTTTATCAATAAATGAAAGCAACGAGTTATAGTATCCATCAACATTCAGCAATCCAACCTGAAAGAACGTGTGAAAAAATCAGGCATGACTATTAGTTTCATCGATCAGTAATCGTTTTCTCGAGTGATGAATCGATATTTTTACAGAGAAAGTGCAGGACTTTACTGGTTTATCATGTATACCAAGCTGCGCCCAGGTGATGACTTCAAGCAGTTCTTCAAGAGTTCCATAACCACCTGCATGAAGTTTATATCGGTCCTATCCAAACCATTATTACAGTTTTTGCAACCAAAGCATGTGATGCTGAAAAAGATATAACTTTAGTACAACATCTGATTGGTGTTTAGTATGATTGGAGAGACAGGGATTGACAAAGGGTATTCAAAAGAAATGACATCCATGATTCTACTTATCCAGTAAAATTCAAAAAGTTTCTAGATTATGATATATACCCACTTTGCTCGTATCCTTTGTGAAAGTAGAGGCACAATCCTCTGCCTACCCGTTCTTGTCATAATAGCTCTCACTCTACCTCTTTAATCATTATCACCTTAAAAGGTAACATGCGATGGACAATTCCTCTAAAGAATAAAATGTCAGATTCGCCATTGTATATCCTCTTAACTTTCAAGATAAACATACAAGTCAAAGTTCAACTGGAAAAGAACTAGACATAATGTCAATATTAACCCCCCAATGTTTATTAAAATGATCATTTTGACTCCTATTTTTTTAGAGCATTTTGGCTCTCAACAGTTCATTCTAGGGTAAAAAGGCCCCTAATATTTGATAGAATAGTCATTTTGACTCTTATTCCTTTTCTGGAGCATTTTGGCTGTCAATGTTTCATTTTAGGATAAAAACACATATTTTAGACCGTTAACCATTTGTTAACTAATAGTTTCCATTCATAGAGGGACCTTTTTGTCCTAAAATGAAATGTTGGGACTAAAATACTCCCAAAGAAATAACGACCAAATTGACTATTTTAATAAACACTGAGGGCTAATTTTGACATTATGCCAAAGAACTAAAAGGTACTGCATTTTGAGAGAAGTAAATAGGATACCACCTTGTTGGGATACATTTAAGGAGAAAAAACTAAACCAACCAAAGTAGGAGAGCTCCCTAGAGGATCTAATTTTCAGTGTTACATAGGCCATAGATCAGTACCTTTTCTAGATTTATCTTTTAGTGTAACATGGAAACAATAGTTACATCAAATGAAAAATCTTGAAAACTAAAAGGTGAAATAGAAAGCACCTGATAGATACAAGTTTCCTTCGATTTTGCCCTGATAATTTGGTGTAAAAATGCTTTAGACTAACCTGGTAAGGCAATAAAACCATCTGAATGCTTGGCCATCTCCGCCTTCCTTTGATGCATATCTGCAACAGCCTTCACTTCCCCCACTGTTTCACCAGTTAACTGCAAATTGTTGCACAGAAATAAAGTCGAACACTCTAGTTATGCCTATATAAACTAACGTCGATAAACGTTTTAGCTACATAAATGGAAATATAGAAAATTCCAACAAAGAAGAAACCAATACCATGATCCAAAAATATTGAAAAAAGCATCAAGTTGAGACTTTAACAGTGGAAAGTTGTATGTAGGCTAAAGGTCCATTCATCATCTTCTTCTTTTTTCTTTTCAATTTAAATAATAATAAAAAGTTCCATGGCTGTAATAGTAACAGACATACCTCTCGAGGCATGAGCGTCTTGGGAATAACTCTGTGGAGAGACAATAACATGACAAAAAAAAGTTCAGCTGTAATGGAAACCAAAACTAAGAATAGTTTTGTAATGAAGATGACAAATTATCAAAACAAAGCCAGTTCACTGAACTTGTTGGAATATCTTAAAAAAGTGAAGTTTTTACCCAATTACATGGCGACCACCATTGTGAACAGCTTGTGAAACCAAACCCATTAAACCTATGCTACCTCCTCCATAGACCAGATCAATGTTCCTTGATACCTGCAAAAGAGTACACAAAAAAGGTCTTGTAATGAGAGATTCTTTTGAGCAACTATAGTTCAAGGTTCAAGCATGTTTCTATAGTGAACTCCTTTGATGAAACCAATGTTTCTTCAGACTACATTCCTTAGGCTACCAACAATAAGAATGAAAAAAGATGCTTTCTTGTTCTTACTTAAAATTTCCAAACTTTTAATAACTCCAACACCAATGGAATTTTGTGCTAACAACTTTTGACAATGGAAGCAAAAGACGAATAGCTAGAGGCAACCAAAAGCAGAAGGCTAAAAGATTGAGGAGTTTTGAAAATGGAAGATAACTTGGACCAATTCACAAACAAGTGAAATACATAACCATATGGAAATAAAAGTTTAAGGCTTTAAGCAAGTTTCAAAAGTTTTCTTGAAGAACCCATTTCATCCATGTTAGTAAAGAATTTTCTAACAAAGACCCAAACCAAATTAAGTATCATCTTGTGTAAAAGATCACAAGCAACTTAGAAAGAAAGGGGAAAAAAGAGCCAGAGCTTTATGTTGAATACCAATTCTCTACCAAGCTCAATAGCAGCATCCTGATAGCTACCCTTCTTGCCTTGGCTACTCCCACAAAACACACAAATCCTCCTAAATTTTGACTGCTGTGTTTTACTCTCCATCTCCATTAACAATATATATTTCTTTATCACAAGCTTTTGTTTTATGTTTTGGATTCTCAGAACCAAAAACAGGGGGGGGGTTAATTGATGCAAGAATATCTCTTGCTAGACCTGTCGCTTTGCTTCCCAAGGCATTCACATATGAAATGTGAAAAGAATGCAAATTGGCAAAGCTTAGAAGCTTAAATTTTTGTTGCTTGATTACTACTGCTCGGCTACTCCACTCACTGCGTTCTCCTCATGCTTATATATAAAACCTTGTCACACGTGAGTGCCTCATGCCACGCTTCTTCACACATACACAGCCAATATTGGCACGCGTGGACCTCTTATTATTTTACTATAAGTCCATAATTATCTGATTTATGTTCTCCAAGCTCTGTACTTTTTTCTTCTTTTAAGAAGTTATATTATGCTATAACTATGGATTTTAACAACTATTTTGGTGAAATTAGAAATCAATGTGTTTATAGAGTTTCAGGCTTTCACTCCCTCTTATAATTTTTCTTTATCTGAAATAATTATAAGGTAATATTTGTTCAGAACTTTCTTAATAAATTAACAATGCACATACCTTGATGTTGTTTGAAGAACAATATTTTTTTGGTAAATTATGTGTCCAGTATCTAAACTATCAGTTTTGGCTCACTGTAGTACTTAAACTTTTATTTTTTCAAAACTATACCTAAAGTTTAGTTTTTTTTTTCATTTTAGTACCAGTTCAAAATATAATGTTAAATTTTGGAAAAAAAATTAAGTTTAGGTGCTAAAACGGATCAAAACTGATAGTTTATGTACTTAACGCGTTATGTTTTTAACGGTGTGGTACTAAAATGAAACAAAAACTAAACTCTAAGTATGATTTTGAAAAGATAAAAAGTTTACACATTAAAACAGAACAAAATGATAGTTTAGGTATTAAATTCGTAATTTACCCTTTCTCTTTTTTTTTTACTATTGAATCCACTTTGTGAGTTTTACTTGGTAAATCTTCAATCATCTTGTTTGTATTTATCAATGTTTTTAAGACCGGACATTAAATCGGTGAAGTTACTGGTTCACTGGTTTAACCGGGTTCAATTGCGGTTGAACCAGATTTTATATAAAATAATATTTTTTTAATTTTACATAATATTCAAAGCAATATTAATATATATGTAACAATTTTTTTAAGTTTACAATATTAAAAGGTATAAAAATATCACAAGTCATAACATATATAAATTAAAAATCATAAAATCAAGTGAAACAAAATGATTCAAATCAACTACAACATAATATTTAAGGTAAAACATATTATATAATAAATATAATTCTATAACTATAATCAAAAAAATAAAATTGGGGCTTAAAAAAATCATAACAAATGATGTCATTTGGTTTAATTTTTTTTAAAAAAAACAATCTCACATGGCTAAGAAACATAGAAAAGCATCCCAAAAGTTTAAAGAGTAAAAATATGAGAACAAAATAATCCCACATGGCTAAGAAACATAGAAGAACATCCCAACTTACTTCTATAAATAATAGAGGTAATTTGACATTCAAAATCATGGAGCCTTTTGGTGAGCACAAAACGAACTATTCTTTCGCTTCAATTGAGCTCAAATTTTAGGCTTCAATCGAACTAAATTTTTTTTGAGTTCGAGCCTTTTCGAGTTCAAGTTTTAATATTATATTTCGAGTTCGAGTTGAACTTGATAATTTTTAGCTCGTGAGTTTTTGAGTCGAGTTGAGCTTACTTTTAAAGTTTTCGAGCTCGAGTCGAGCTTAGCAATACTCGAATTTGACTTGGCTCGTTGAACAAACGACATTGTTTGATTTAAATTTTTTTTAAAGAAAAAAAGTGAACCGGCGGTTCAAATTGGTTTTTAGCCGGTTCTACTGGTTTTCAGCCGGTTCATTGCCAGACCGGTTTTGTGAGGTAATCGGACCAGACAGGCCACCGGTTCACGGTTCATAATTACTATAAATTCATAATTACTATGCCTTGAGCTTTCTTTTATCTTCTTCCATTAAGTAAATGCGCAAGCTTCTGCATGCTTCTGCTCCAGGCACTTATTGTTACTAAAAATAGCCTAAAATCTATTGGTGCTCGAAACGAAAACAAATCTGCAGATGATTAATGCTTATGTTTATGCATCTCTCTTATCAGCCAGCTAATAATAAGTTGCAGTTTTCATCTAATGCTTTGTCATATACTAGGAGATAACTTTCGGAAACTATAAACTTTTCAATTCTTAGATAAACCCTTCGACTTTTGCTCACTGAAGCCTTCAAGGAACTATAAAGACTTTCGAGTTAACTACAATATCTAAAAAAAGACCTTTAATAGATCACATGATTCATCGAAATAAAATCTAGAATTTGACAATCATATCTATCTAGCATGTTGACCTACACATATTCATAACAAACCTATATCTGGCACAGTCAGTTAAAAACGCTACAATTATCTCTCAGCCACAACCGCACAGATATTGCAGGTTTTTTTCTTCGATATCATACGTCTTTCAACCCTCACACATAAAAAATCGACTAATAACCATCCTTTTATCAATTGATTTCCATCAAATTGCTTCAACTAAGTCAGGACCCCATCAAGATTTCAGTGAGCTGAAAATGGATATAATTAAGGAAGGTAAAATGGCAGACACCTTTGTGTGAACTTTGAACTTAGGGAAGTTTAATCGGTTAACTTGATTAACCAATCAAACTGAAATATTCAAAATTTATTAACCGATTTTTTTTTTCTTTTAATTGTTAATCAAACTGAATTTGTTTCATAAATTTTTAATTGAACTGAACTAAGTTGGATTAATTGATCGATTAACTGAATTAACCGAAATTTATAAATAATATATAAGTAATAATTAATTCGATCAATTAATTTAGTTAAATCAGAAGTTTAAATACTCATATTACCTAAATAATATATAAACAATATACATAATATATTAAATATTAATAATTTTGATTAATTAATTGATTTTGAATCGAATTAATCGATAAAAGAAATTTTTTAAAAAACTATTAATCGTTAACCGACCGAACTTAAAATTAAGCGATTAATCAATTAAAAGTATTTTAATTCAACCGATTAATTTAATTTTAACCTAATTATGAACAACCCTATTTGAACCTTTGAGGCATGTAAACGAACCAAACAAACACGAACGGGGATATGTTTTTATTCGTTCGTTTAACTTTAACCGAACACGAACATAAACAAACAAAAAAATTCTTATTCGCGTTCATTCGTTAAGGAATGTAGCTTGTTCATGTTCGTTCATTTGAATGATAAACAAATACAAATGAACGAACATAAACGAACGAATGTATACGAACATAAACAAACAAATGTAATCGAACACAATAAATGAAAATAGATTTTTGTCTTTCCTAACAATTTTAGGATTATATTTTAATTAATTATTTTGAGATTTTTTATTTGTATTTAAAATTAATTGAATTTTAAAATATTTATAGGTATCAGATTAAAATTTATTGAGGTTTAATATTTTAAATGGGTCTAGAGAGATTTGGCTAAACATAAATGAACGCACATAAACGAACATAAATAAATAAACATAAATGAACAAACATAAATAAGCGAACATAAACGAACATATTACCGAACGTTCACGAACGTAAATGAACGAATGAGTCATTTGTTCGTGTTCGTTCATTTAATTAAACGAACACAAAAATCTTGTTCATGTTCATTTGTTTAATAAATAAACGAACATAAACGAACTTCCCGTCGAACGGTTCACTGAACATTCGATTCGTTTACATGCCTATCGAAAATGAATGATATTGTGTTGGTTGAATAATTATTTTTTAGCGGACACGGGCATTCACAGAAATAAATAAATAAATAAATAAATAAATATATATATATATATATATATATATATATATATATATATATATATATATATATATATATATATATATATATATATATATATATATATATAAAGCCAGTTGAAAAGAAAGCAAAAGGCAACAAAATGGAGAGATTAGAGGAGATCATGAAACAAGAGAGAAGTTGCTTTCAAATTCCGAACTTAATATACATATTTATGTAAATTTGACATTTTCGGTTCACAATTTCAAAAGAAGCTTTCAGTTTCAACTTTTCCTGTTTCTAGTAAATGACAACTTGTTTTTGTTATCGAACTGCACAATCAAAATGTTGCTTTTCCACCAGGTGACATTATTCTGTAAATTATTTAGAAAATACTCTCTATTTAATCTTCTTTTAACAAATTAAAATAAATTCAATCATGATGTCATGTGTTACCCTCTGATTAGTAGAAAATCAATACATTAAATTAAAATAAAGTTATTCTTCCAACCAAATGGTTACACTTGGCATCATTCAATTAAATGATTAAATTGACAAATAAAGTTTGAATGATAAAATATGACTCGTTAATTTAATTAACTTAAATTATTTTTTTCAAAAAAATTAACTCAAATTTTTTAATTTGACTCGATTAAAGAGTAACCCTAATTGTAAACCATCAAATCAATTCCAAATCAAAAAGATGTGTTCAAGGTTTTTAAAAAATAATTTGGGATGATTATAAGGTATTATTTGCTCATAAACTTTCTTAACCATTGACGACGCACACACACCCATAGGCACAATTGTTCGAACATGTTAAAACCTCAAGAAAGAACAACATTCCCTTTAATCATCAGAACCATTCAATAGTTTTGTGTTCAATTTTTTTTAACAATATTACTATTACACATGTTTACATTTTATTTCGGCAAACACAAATAAACATAATAATAACATTATGTTAAAACTTTGATGTCACTAGTAATATATGTAGCTAGTTGATACAAACCGACCTATCATCAAATGAGCTTTTGTATATTTATGTTAATGCTGAAAAAAGTGCATGAAGGTGACCCCTAAACCGCGTTTAAGCAACGTTGGAAATCAATCATCTTGTACACATATCCAACACATGAATTAAAAGTGAGGG